ACTCAGTTTCTGAGCCGTAGTTTCTCACACCGGCTAGCAGCCACTTATTTGTGTACGGTATCTTGCAATATAGTCCACTTCTGCAGTCTCGTTCACACGAGTCCTAGAGGGAAAGGGGCAAAGAAGAAATAATGAATAGTTAGCAATGCGACTTAAATATCAATTGAGAAATGACATGGCTATGGCAAGGAAGACTGGTAGCTCAGTTTGTTCAGATGGCTGTTGAACTGTTCGCTGAGCTTGACAATTTTGTTGCAAACCTTTCGTCACCAATCGAGGTGACATCATCAGTGCGTAGTTGAGTGGCGAGCAATAGCGTAGAGTAGCACAGAAGAGCGTCGGTGAGAAGACCCTCTCACGAATAATTGACAATTATTTTTACAGTGTTTATCCCAGAGGTGCGGTGATTTTTGATAGCGGAGAAGGATGGATATGGCTGATTGCCTAGCCCGGATGAAGCTCTCGCCTTTAACCTCCAAGGATAATATATAATAATAATATTGCATAATGACATGCATATACGGTTCATTAATTTCAACATGGCGTAATCGCCAGATGTCATATTTGGTGTGTGGTCAAACCACTTTCGACGGAATGAGGGTAGTATAATTGTGGTATTTTTGACAGTTTCATAAGGCAGAACCCGGAAATCAAGGCTGAGGCCCATTTCCACATGTTGTTCTCTCGAAATACTTTGCATCTCGGATTGGGTAACAGGAACAGTACATGTTGAGTCGTACGCTATCATTGCACGTAGAATTGTTAGTTTGAACGACGTCTACTGTTTTGTGTTTTCCGTCTATAGGGATCAGACAATTTTTCAAGCTGTAGTTGTTTAATTGGACCAGATATTTAGTGCCCATTTCAGAGGATGAACCGCCAAAAGCTTGTTGTCATGTATACGTTTACCGGATCAATTATTGTCAGTTAGCTAAATTAAGTAGCTCATACCAAACACTGTTACTAAATCGGTTGCAGATATTTGACAGTAAAACCTGAACGGGTAAAATTAGCATAATAACTAGATAGTGGCCCTATTCGCTAGGCCTTCTGGAGCTACATGAACGGCGTGCGTTGGTCATAAGTTTTTATCTTCGAAGGTCAATCCTTGTATTAGCTTACTACGGAGATGGGATGCCAGATTCACAAATATCAGGAAACAGTTCGTTACTTGGCATGAAGGAATCAAGACCCATTTCAGCTATGGTAGGTAACATAAGCACTTACACTTTCAGCATTTTCATTTAAGTTTGCAACATACCTGCCTTAAAATATGTTGAAAGTTGCTTACCTTCAACCTCCAACCCGCGCAAAGTTGAGATTCCTTTCGATGTTTCGGATAGTACTTAAGACATTTGCTTGCACTCATTAATGGCAGAACGATCTCCTGAAGTTCAACTGGCTTCGACTTATTGAATTTAAACGAAAATCCGTTATCGGCGTCTGTGTCATCTGAGTTGAACGGACCGTGGGAGATGTCGAATGAGTTGATTTCCGTATTAATTTCATTGCCGCTTGGCATCTGACCCCAACCAACAGCGTAGCATTGGGTGCCGTGTTCAAATTCAATAGGCTGTGTTGCTAAGCAAGCGTAGTTAATCTCTTTTTCTGCAAAAAAGATAGGTAAAAGTAGTCGCGTTACACAACATGGTCTTTGATAAGCCAGGCTTAATTGAGTTATTTAGCAACATAGCAAGATGTTTGGGCGAAATTATCTAGATTACAAAATTAATTGGCCAATACAAATAACATGTTTTCAACAACCTAAGTTTCATTGACAGCCTTGCGCGTAGTCTTCTGTGTTTGCGTTAAGATTTTTGAAGCCCTGCTAAAGAAATTTTATGAAAATTGGAATTCTCCAAGTATATTACGTTGGTGCTCGGAAATCCTAATTGGCAGACTACTCTTATTTCGGCCTACCTAATGTGACCACGAAAGTTCTTAAGCTGCCGGCAAGCTTAATTGCCCAGCTCGTACTAGACTGCTTCATTTGCCTAATTCAACAAGAATCGTTACGGATAATTATCCAACAGCGCAATTTCCGCCTGCTACAGTTTGCTGAAGCTTCAGCAATTCGGTGGCTGAAACCCACTATTTACAGACAGACCGAGTTTGTGAACAGTAACACATTGCCTTGGTAACATTTTTTGACTATTTTAAAACTATGGCGTTGAATGTTGTTTTATGTTAAAGCACCACCATTTTCCCAGTGTGTTTGTTAGCAGCGCATTATATTCTTTTCACTATAGTTTGCCATGAATTTATAATATTTTAGTATTTCATATGCACCTCCTTATTTTTTACCTATGAGTTCTCTTCCCATCCTAATATAGATGATTAGAATGTTTAGAAGACACCCAATGCGTATTGCGATTGGGAATGCAGTATCCAAGGAAAACATTATTTAACTGCTCATAGTTACAGACCTTGTGCACCGTGATCAGCAGAAAAGTAATATTCCCGGCTTTGATAAACCGTACAATGACAGGCTACCTTCAGTGAAGCTTCTAATATATTCACACCAAAACAGATGCTATCATCCGTAAATTTGAAGAGCAGTGTGGGCAGTTGAAGGAGAGAAGACGGCTATTTGCCGCGCGTTAGGAATTTTGCAATACTTTTGCTAGGAACATAATGTTTTACATATTATTTTCATCTCCACTTACTCAATAATAAATAATAACATCCTCAAATATGATAAGGGTGAAAAATAGAGGAAGCCAAACAATAAGCACCGAGAATTATCCTTCATAAATTTAAACTCACTCAAAGCTGCAGGTTTCGCTAATTGCAGTAAAGCCATGTCATGTCCTTTAGATATTTTAAAAGAATCATAGTAGGTATTAACGAACATTGTTTCAATCAGGTATTTCTCAGCAGTTCCATGATCCGCGCTGCTGCGATGATTGCCCAAATAAGCGAAAAGGGTTCTGTTCTTGGATAGCACTGCATTAGTTGGCAGTCCTGTATTAACAAGCAAGCCGTTATCTATAAAACAGTGAGCCGCGATGACGATCAATTTTTTGGAAATCAGGGTTCCACTGCAAAAATATTCTTCCTTTCCTTCAGGATCGATTGTGATCACCCGAACCTAAGATTGTTTACAATAAAAATGAACAGGTAATATGGCGCACGTGGTTTCAGAATCTCGTTGCTACAGCTGTGTTTATGTATGCAAAATAATTCAACTCTGCATCAATTAATAGCATTTTATGGTCATCCCCAATTAGTGACATAAAATACTGCAAAGGGTTTCCAGCAGACTTATACTACAAGTACCTATGCTTGACAATTATATCAAAGCTCGTTTGGAGACCTTATATACTGTGTAAATGTTAGTGTCAAAGAGGGATTTTAAGGTAGAATATTCCGTTCCTAAGGTGAATATAATTATAGTTTCCTTGGAGGAAAATCTATATAAAGGAACACTAGAAACATTATTTAAATAAAAATTTCAAGCATGTTTACTGGATATCAATCCGCCTCTTAGCCCCGTAGACAGAAATACACTATTTGGAACTTTTATAATTCTTCTATATGATTTATGCCGTATAAGTAAGCTCTCAAACGTGATGATAACACACATTACTGCAAGGAAGATAGGAATATATTATCATAGCATTTCCAGATAAATAAATATACACTAAAAGACAAGAACTTAAACATTCCACTTAAGGATTGTGAAGACATTTGCCGCATAAATATCAAACAAATAAATATCAATATCATAAATACCAAAAAATTTTTAAAGATCATTGATGAAAAAATGCAACAGTTTGCAGTTAGAACAAGCAGCCGCATACCGTCACACAACACATCAGAAGTTTAACTAGTGTATTAAGTCTTACGTTCCCTTATATATTTGGATGGTACCGATGAGCAAAGCAAACACAAGCTTCTCTTCTATAAGTAAACCAAAGAACAGAAACTGCCCAGCTATGTGGACGAGTTTTAAGATGAATAACATCGGTACGATGCCGCGATCCGTTTGTCCATAACCCGCTTGGACGCGGCTGTAAGAAATTTCAGCTGCTTCACCCTTATCCAGCATAAACGTTGTTTCTTCAAAACATTTTTAAACATTTTATAAAATATCCTCCCAAACGGAAAGAGTCTGAATCGTAATTTAACGCAGGGGTTCCGGACATCTTCTACGGCCGCATGATGAAAGAAAAACAAAAGCCAACGTCCGTGTCCAAAATACCCAAATATTTCCATTTGTCTTTTCAAGAAGATGATGTAGTAAAGCAAGTCGGGCGGCTGGTAGCCACAGTAATTCGACGAGGATTTAATGCTGCTAAATTGGTCCCGTTTGGATAACCAGGGACTTAAAATCTCCTTCGGCTAAGCTTACCCTAACTATTATCGGCACGACACATTGTATTTGCCACTTTGGCTATAGTTGTTATAATGCTTACTTCCGGAGTACTGATCGGAGACTTCATACGCGAGTCGGTGAGTACATTAACAAGTGTGTTGATGTCGTTGTGTGAGGTCGAACACGAGGAGAGTTGTTGAGCTTCAAAATGATTACCGCGTTTGATAACACTCAGTACGCATATATCATCAATTCAATCCGGCCCTGGCGTTTCCAATCATCTATTACAATATAAATGCGAAAATGCAAACTCGCTCAACTCGTAGCGAATATTTGCAAACATTGAGGTTTATGAGTAGAAGGAGCTATCACTCTCAAGTTTGTTAGAGAAACTAACGCTTGCCTCCATAGTGTTGATTATGATGTGGTCTGTGACATTATGTTCCTTCGCGTGCCAGTTTCAATTGCTGCTTCGTTGCAGAAGGGAGCATTTAAAATGTTGAATTTCAGCATGTGTGCAAAGAGCACAAAATAACACCTCCAGCAACAGGTGTCTTCTTATTGCATTGTTTGTAAAAAGCGATTTGCTCAGGCACTGATTATTAGGCAAATGTCAAAACACCGGTTTCTTATATAATGCTCAGTTTGTCCATGTTTACATTCATTGTATGAACTTTTAGTCTAAGCTTTCAGGCATTAAATAGCTTAATTTGCACCAATCTTCTCACAGTGCTTAATGACTTAGTTTTTCCTTTGATTCATCTACCTTAGCAACAAACTCAATTGCTGAAACATACTGGACTAAAACAAATAGCCGTTTTTGTATTTATGTCCAGTGTAAGATTAATATTTTTTTATTTGGTGACTGAACACTTGCGCCTATTCTTATTATATTGTCAGGCACATAGAAAATGAAGCATTTTGGGTTATTTCAGCTTTCCACAAGCTATATTCATTTAACTTAATTGTCATATATTGACAAATGTTTGAGTGACAGCAGCGTACATATTTTACTAGAAGTACTAAACTAAAATAAGTAGTGCTTTTTGTAAGGCGATTAACCGTTTTTAGAATGCCGCCATTGTCATTACATAATATTACACTATCCCAAATAACGCTAAATATTATTATTGCGGCAAATATTTTTGTAGAAATACACGATCAGTTCTCGTTTTCTTCCGTTTTTACACAGGTATCGGCATACTGAGATTATAGATTATTATAGATTATAGATTACAGATATGTTTTTAAATTTTACATGTATTACGTTTTATATGCAATAGATGATCTGTTGCAGTTTTAAGACTTTCATATGTTAAACAGCATAAACTGCACTCATTGGACAAGAAGCGCGATTAGCTCACGTTTGTTGACATTTTCCTTAGAAATGCTTGTAATCAATAAATACTTGTACTCAATAAACATATAACAATACCGCAGATTCCTCGTTCATGTGAGATGTTATACTCTAGAAGTATAGGAGCTAAATTTTCCAGTTACTTTTATGCTTAAAAGTAATGAGTTTTATACCTAACATTAACTTTTTTGAAACGCGGCATAATTTTAACTGTTTGGCTGCATTTTTCACATGTATTTGATTCAGAGTTCTTTACAAGCGTATAAAGAGGTCCGGATGGGGATTATGAAAAAGGAGGCTATGATCCAAATCGTTATTTGCAGGTGTTTTCCGTCAATCTGTCAGGTGTGATCGATACATTATCCAACCGGTTGTGCAGGGATTGTAATACCCCAAGCATGTTAACCGCGACTTTTTATATTTAAATGCGACTTAATCGATAATCCATACTTAGGCAGTGTACTGCATGCACTGACATCCCTTGGAAATTGGTACTATCTGGTGCACCAAAGCAGCACATGACAAGCTTTGTCCATTTAAACAAATATACATATACACATGTTACGTCAAAACTACAAAAGCAAGATACACACCATTGGACTGTGTGACTTACAACCATTAAACTTGAGGTTACATTTGTCTAGCAATTTAGGGACACTTCCATGTGCAACTAATAAGTCATACGAATGTCACTACAAAAGGCGTTTGAAAGCTATATTGTTGAGTGTGAAAATCAGCTCAAACTCACCAGCCATGGCCACGAATTCGGTGTTGTTCTTTCGGCTCCATTAGGGTCAAAGGCAATGTCTTCTTTGTTGGTTTGGACTCCACAGTTTTCAAGCATCCCTACATAAAAGATAGAGCGCTACCACTTAATACCACTGGCTAGTTTATATGACATTTTCTATGCGTGATATTTGCACGATAAATCATGGTAAAGTAGAAGAAATTGCTGCAAACGAAATATCTCCATTGAGGTCCATCTTAGCTTTCAAAATGTCACCGCATTCTGTTTGAGGCTTACTAAAACGATATTGAACCTATGTTTGAGGTTATCACATGTAAAATACAAAACTCCGGTTAGAAGCTGACAACACCAACTTCGAAAAAATATGTTATGCGCGTTTCCTCTCATTTAACTTGCTGCTGAGAAGTGAAAATTCTTGCTACTTTTACCACTTCGTAAGGCGTCCTGCACAAAGGCTTTGCTTTGGTTTTTAAAATATTATCACCTTGCAAAGGTGTTTTAATTACCTAGACTTTGTTTGGCCCACGACGTGAGATTCAATATGCGTCATTATTTCGAAGCTGCTATCCAATCTAGTTGGGGGCATAATTATGTGGTATTACAGCTAATTACATTACAAACCAGTGGTTGTATTGGAAAGGTTGGTCACCGATTCTCTATGCTGCAGTTTGGCGCGTAGACCTGGTAGTAACTAGCTTGTGACAATCGTAGTTTTCGCCATTTTCTAATCTACGTATAGATTTCTGTCTACAATCGGTTTTACCTCAAGCTTACTATAATCCTAAAACCAAGTTCATTTTTATTATGGTTGAAATGTAGGTAGTCTGTAAGACTGGAATTCTATCATCCAAACATGCAGGGATATTTTACAATAATTTATAATAAGTAATCCAAAGATTTGTCTCATCATCTAAGCTACCAGGTGGATGGATGACAACCAACCATTCATGCCAGAACTAGTACCTGCAAATGAGGAGATGTTTATCTAAAAACCACTGGTATTCACACACTTTGGAATAAGTGATCTGTTCACTTAAATTTAAAACTATTGTGTCTCCCCTAATTTTGGTAAAATGGTACATAGCCGATGGGTAAAAACGCATGTTACAACATTCGGACAGATTTAGTTACACTACAACTTGAGCAATATACTAATTTGTTTCTACCTGACAAAGCTATGTTCAGTCTCCTGACTGTTTCAACAAACTGATCATAAGCGAGTCAGCAATTATGCAAGCTTGTTCCACCATGCTAAGGTCGTATTACAGAGACAGAACACAAAAACTCATTTCATTGAGGAGTGCAATTTGCTTCGGTTTTACAAGTTGAAGCGAAAAGTATCCAAGCGTTATAAATGTTATGCATTTGTCTGTCATTACAAGTTTACTCACAAATAACAGCCGACCTGCAAATGCTTCAAAAAACATTTAACAAGAGTTACAAGAAAATTTGAAAACTTGGACACGAGTCAAGGTGGCCAGATGCCTTGAAAAAGGATATTAAATGCGTGAGTTTCCGAGGAGACAACGTGTCATCCGCCATTGCTAAATGTTTCAACCATTCACCTAAACATTAGATTTTGCTAATTAAATAAACACCACCGAATTGAAAAACTACTTGCTACGTTGTGTCTACAAAGTTGAAAATATCGCCTGCAACTCCGTCTAATACCTGAGCGAACGGTTTTGCAACTTGCTCGGCAGAGTACATTGTGTCTGTCGCAAGCTAATTTTCAAAAGCAGCAGTTGCTTTGATCCTGCGAACTCCATCTCAGCTTTGTTGGGTGCAGGTTGCGCTGATGTTTTACTCGATGGTATAGAACCCTGCGTCATTACTGGAAAGGAACATCATGGTTTCCCTCATCAATCCTACATAACACTCCTGCACTTTACACATGGTATTTCAAAGATAACAAGCGTAAATGCAAGAGGAACTGTTATTGCTTAATCAGATTTGCTAAACATTTTGACTGCCGGAAGCACTGCATTCCAATTTACGGACTAACAACCTTGAAAGTCGGTAATCTGCTTTTAGGTGGGTTTGCAATACGCGCAGCTGCGAACAAATTTGTGAAGGGGAATCCAGAATGCATGAACCCCGTTTTCCATTAGACACATAAGCATTCACATTAAATTTTGTGGGTTTTCTATACTAAATAACCCCAAATTTATCGCGTTCCGTTTAAAAAAATGCACTTATGTAAGAACAACTTGTCTCCATGCAAACACTTGTCGCAACTTCGTGTTGCCCTATTGTACATGTCATCTATGCCGTCAATACAAAATATTCCTGCTCTAGCCACTACGTCTCAAGCTAATATTTCTTCATCCTTTATTACAACAGTAGCAATTCTGTGACTGCGTCATCCATACCATAATATGTATGGAGGCATATTTCGCAAATTTTGGTTAACAAGTTTGTAAAATATTCTTGTATGTATTCAGCTAACCTTCAAAGTATTTTACATACATTGGCGCCCAAGTAACTGACAGTGTCATGATAAAACTCATCACAGCCATCACTAGACCCTAGCGAAAAGTTGGAACCACTAGGATATCGTGGTTCATTGGTATCTGCTTTCTAACAAAACGGATGCAGCAATGATATAAATAAAAATAGTTTATTTTTATGTCATCAACCAGTGAAATAAAGTTTGATATTTCAGCTTTGCGCTTGGACCTGGAGAGCATTATTGTGGTCATTCTGCACATATTCATCAATGAACACATTTAATCCTTTATTCATTTGGTGTAAACGCACTAGTCACGTTAACCGTTTCTTATAAACGCAGATCCATTTAGGTACATAACGCTACCAACTTACGAATTTCTGTTACCTTGATCAGATCGGCTCAGAAAGTACAAATTTTCTCCATACATTGTGAAACGTTCAGTAAACGACTAATACATGACATTATTTACTCGCTTTGTGCGCTAGACCTAGAAAGCTTGAAATATTTAGCACCAATTTCATATAACCTATCCTACACTTAGCACTTCTGTATATTAAAATGTGCTTTCATTTCTCTTCGTTGATTATACCAATATTTCCTCCAATTAAAGCATCAGCTGGTTCCAAGAAAACTGTACTTCAGAACTAGCTAAGCATACTGCTAAAAAAGAAGCACTTGGTTATGATATAAGAAAAATAAGTTGCGGAAATTGGTAGAGAAATTGGGGATAACAAACCGCTGTATCAGAAGAAAGCTGCTGTCAACCGAAGTGCCTATCTTTTGCAGGAAATACGGCGTACCATTATAATCCCATTAAATAGTTGAACGTTTCATAAGGACGAGTCATGTAATACACATGATTGCACACTTGTGTTACAGGAAAGATTGCTAATAATACAATAATATCACTGGTAACTACATATTGTAATCTTTTGGTAAAATGCCCTTTGACGACACACAATGCGTTTTCATAGAACATTAATCTTTCTTATTTTCAAACGTGTAAGCTGTGCAACTTATGCTTATTGAAACTGTTCCTTATGCATAAACCGTGCACAAATTGAACGGAAATGGTTCGTTATTCGATTCGTTATTTACCCGAGAGCTATATTTTTCCTACCAACAAAGAATTGTTAACAAGTACCACATTCAGTGCTACCGTAGCGGGGCTATCAAATTGCAAATATACAGCCCCAGAATTGTGACACCTTTATGTAAAAATGCATGCGCATTTGTTTCTGTTTCTCTTAAGACATCCACAAGGAAGACCGTCTGTAGGTTAACTCTATAAAAGTGTATCAGTTGTTTAATGTCTCCTAAACACCATACGGTGAGGTAATGAACTTAGGACGAAAAACCATGTTGGTTGCACAAAAGTCAATTTAGTTGCCGTATGATGCCAGTTTCATAAGCTCCAAAACCCTTCCACTTTGTGATAATAATTTATAGGACGCCTTCGCAAATGCTTTTTTCATAGTACCAACTTATTTTATGTACAGGATATGGTTTGCGGCTACAATGCATTTGGCAGCCATATTTGTCCATTTCATAGCGCTAGTTTGTGATGTGCTAGAATGAGAATGTCTTCTAATTCACCGGCTTTCAGAATCCCAAAGCAGTTTGTTTCCTTACAATATTCTCAGAGAGTTTAGGCATAGTATTTTAATTGACAGCAAATCTAATCTTACATAGTTATGCGAACACGTTTATCCTACAAGCAATTCTAACCTTAAATATTATATTTTATCTGTCACTTACCATTAAATACTGCTCATTGAAATAGCAAACGACAGCTGTCTGTCAAAAGTAGCAAGCTTCTATGTACTGTAATTTAGCGGAGCTGATAATGAACAATTTAGTGATAAGAATTTTGCCCGACTAAGATTTAATAAGTACAATAGAATAAATCCGCTTGATTTTGAAATGTTTTACTACTATTGGATAAATTTATATTAATATTAACACAGTTCCGGTCGCTAAAATGCCACCACCTCTTCTGCGAAGTATTTGCATGCAACGTACTCGTTACAACTATTTCGTTCATAAACTTATTTGTTAGCGCAATATACATAACTTAGACGACAGGCCGCGCGCTGAATATACAGGCGTTCCGAATATAAATTTTTATCTCTCCACCACATCCGTGTGTTCATTAAAGAAAGCACAAATGCAATGCGATGCATTGATAAACTCACGTGTTAGTATTTGGCATGCCAACCACTAAAAACAGAGCTGAGTGATTTACAAATATCTTTTAATTCCTTCCGAAATTGTCACACCTCAACTTCAGGTAATTGCAACCATGTAAAACTATTCTGGTTTGCCTAAATGATTGCTTACATATTTACTATATATTAGCCAGTACCCAATCCCATTTACGGGCATAGTAACGCGACTGTAGATATAAAATGTTTCCACCCAACCATTTATGATCGACCTTAGGTAGCCAAAACGAAGTAACATTTTCAGATCATCGCGTTGGCTCAGAAAATGTTGGGGCATCACACAGGTAACTTATTTACTTGTTTCGTTTTCGATAAAAGTAAATCGATAATAAACAAATTAACCCTACACTGGATAGAACGTGCGCTCTCTCCAATCGTTAACTTCGTAACAGAATGTTAAGTAAAAAAGCAATCGTCTATTCTGCATCTGTTTATGAAACCTATGTTCAATACAAACTAATTCCATATCTTTTGCCATTAGTGCAATGAAATTCTTTTCGGGAAGCATATAAAATATAACGTTATCATTCTCGAATGAAACAAGATCATATAGCATGGTAATGAAATATACGGACCAGATATTAGGATAGTTACGAATTTGGGGAAAAGAAAATGTATGTACAACGTTAATATGTCGGCTTTTACAGAGCAAATTCAAGGATCATGTAGAAGAATATAAAGTGTTGCAGTAGAAAACAAGCGAAAATTAAAAGCAATATACCTCAAACATCTGCACATGTTTATACTTCTGTATATATCCGAATTATACAACTAATATATAGTCTACCCACTGGGTAATATCCAATTGGCCAAAGCTTGTTTTACGCTCAAAAAGTTGGATGCTTACCATATGTTACACAAGTTGTCTTGTTTTTACAATCGCGCGTCTCCTCGTAATATCTACTAGGGCAGCGTCTTGCACCTGATCTATTGACGTCAGACTGCATCCAAGATTCGTCAACACATTCACGGCGTCGACTCTCGACACATTCAATGGGATCACATTTGGACCAGTTAGACCACTTTTGGTAGCGCCCAGTGGGAAAGGTTAGCCTGTACCCGGATTCTTGCTTAGAAGCGCCAGATGTTATGGTTGATTCCTTAAGCTAACGAAGAAAAGGAGAATTCAAATTCAAAAATGTCGTGAATTCTTGCTTATATTAAAACAAGTTGCTAAGTGTCGGGGTCAAGCTGCGCTCTAGGTTACGCAAATATCACCGTCAGCGAAATTAACATGGCAAACACTGTGAAGGTGGAAATTGTTTCATATTAGCTAGATACCTTGCAGCTATGTTTTTTAACTAGAGCTATAACTGTACTTGCTGGCTTTAATTATATAGTTTACCAAAATTACATTCCTCAAACTCAAATTGTCTGAGAGTGTTTATGTTGTTAAATGTTAATTTTATTAAACATATGAGAGTATAAATCGCTTAGCGGCACGCAGTGCTCAGTGGAGAGTTGTCGGCACATCACGGGCATAAATTGCTGAAAGTCCCACCTGGTCCAACGTTAAATAAGTATTGAAACTGTAGTTAAGTGCAAGTAAGTCAGAATCCATCCGCCTAATTTCCTCACGCTCTCTTATGTTTACAGCTTTTGATAAACTGCAACTGTTCGTATATGTTTAGTTGAATGTTCTTGATTAGTGTGCAGAGCAATTTTGCAGTTGTTCACTTATGTTTGCTAACACAAGTAGACTAAATTTTACGTCGTGCCTTCATACAATTTGCGCTAAATGGTGGTATATGAAAAACCTTAGATGCATCTACAACTCTATGGAATCTATCTCACAGGTTACGAACATTTAACAAGAATAGCCATTACGCTCTTAGAGATTGTTTACTCACCTGCTCGGTTACATGCTCAATAACCTCAATCTTTGGTTTTGTATTTTCAAACTGCACCGACGCATCCAATTTACCTTGGGTCGATTCGGTTTCTCGGATGTCTCCGCGCGCTTCGGTACCATGTTTATCGTCACTGAGGCTGTCACTGCTTCTTACCTGTGTAGAGTATGCACAGAGCAAAGCAACTATTACCACCGTAATTGACAGTACGGTGTTCATAGAAAGAAGAAAAGTGCTTATGGAGTAGCAGTAGTTTATCTAACAGGTATTTATATATCACAGGTTTATACCATTGCTCTTTATTAGGCGGTTCTTGACCAATGCACAACAAAGAGTAGGCTCATAAAAACAAGAATGAAGAATTGCACGAAAATAGCTGCACATCACTGAAAGTCCGCATATTTCCTTAGATCAATCGTTAAGATTTGTGTGACACAAACTGTCAAAGTCCGGTTTTTACAGGCACACCATGGAAGTAGATCACCAAATTCCTTACTTTATTCTGATAGGTGAAATTATTGTCAGATCAAAACATCCTCTCAGCCAGCAAACATTTGTTATTTTCCGTTTAGGTCAAATGAGGTGAGATATTTCTGATCAAAGAGCAAGAGGAATTTTGTTGCTGAATAAAAACGGAAGGTTACCTAGCTTTGTCCTACGCCAAACATAATTTGCTTAGAAGCCCTGATAATTCATCTGTCTTGTCATTTTTTATCCAAATCGTAGGAAATTCGATTCGGGCGATTTTGTCAAAATGAGGTATGTTCAATTATTTTCTTAAATGTTGGTAACCATATTGGTAGGCGCAGCGTTACAATGCTTGATGACTGTTGCGCATACGCCACGTCAATTGATATACTGAACGGCCGTACCACAAATGTAAAGAATTGAAGACTTGACAAGTCCTTTGTAATTATCCATAGCATATTGATATGATTTCAAATGTGACGGCAAGGTGATACGACTTTGTTAGCTTCACCATTTACCCAGTCAACCTTTAGTTTTACAGTCTGCACACATTTCATAAATCCTGGTAAACACAGTCTTGTAAGCACTTGATAGTCGAAGTAAATACTTCGTTATGCATACGATGTAATATGTCGTCAAGTAAATTTTAACAGTGCGTGTCATGGGAGAAAATAAGATAAAGAAAATAGGTGTTCGGCACCTGACATATTCCAGGAAAACGAAATTTCCGGTGACAAACATCCGATTGTTTTAGGTGAAATGTTTCAGCTAGCCGTTTCTCAGATTCGTATTGCAGATTAATTTCATTAAGTGATGGACAATGTGGCTTGTGTATTTAAAAGCTTGTATACCAAAGTAAGGCTAAGTTGTAGAAGGCAAAGTCTTCTAATTCACAATCCCATGGCTGTTTGTCGGAGCTCATGTGGCGGATGCAACGAGTTTATTAGTCATGGGATGCCTTGGAGTATAACACAGCAATGTAAAAATTACCAGGCCTGCATACCAGATTTGCATGAGACACTAAATATGCGCTGAGTGTTAGCATGCATATGTGCGTAGACCGAATTGCCGGAAAGCGTTACGTAGGCGATAAGTATGAAGGTCAAAGTATTTGATACATTCATGGATTTGATAGAATATCATTGATGCTGATCCTCAGCAATCCGAAAATCCGCATTTATTGGAATGAATCAAGGAATGCAGAATCAGAGTAAAGAATACCTTTCCGTAACTCACATCAGACTCATATATTACACGATGACGAGACAGTGCTAAATATGCCGGATTGGGTTGCGTATTAAACAGAACGTTTAATTTCAACAGGAACAAAGCAATAAATCACCGGGTCATTGAAAGTGGCAAGTCTGTAAAGGGGAAATCACAGCCGAAGTTGTAGGCAACGGTAGAAGTTAAGGATGTACAAACTGTTTTTGTACGCACAATTCTGGCTTGAGGTGGCGGATGTTGATAGTTTCCGCAAGAGACAGACGATGCTTCCAGAATCCGCGCGAGGAACGTGCAGGAACAGTATAGATGACTATAAAATCATTTTCCGTCCATGCGTGACTGCACTCTAGAAGGTGAGACAAGATAAAACTGTTAATGGAACTTTCTTCGCCTTTGTAAAACCACTTTGGGATGTATTCTCGAATCCTATGAGATAGGCGTCTCGTGGTACCTCCCAAGTATGGTGCACCACAGGAGTACGAGTAAAGATAAACAAGCATTGATCGAGTCACCGGAGGCCACCTGTTTTGCAAAGATTTTGCGCATAAAGTATTGTTGTAAAATTCTATGCGTAGGAGAGCCGCGAAATAGGTCTTTCCAACAGCGTCTTTCAGGCGTTCGACAGGGCATCAGGCGCACTGTCGCCTTTGAACTGAAAATGCACTTTCTTGGGTGCTTTCATGCTTGGTTGTTTTATCTTGTATTCTTTCGTATGTTTGAAGATGAATTTATCCGGATACCCATTCGCTCTTAGTGCGTCGTCGATCCTCTGCGTTTTTTTGGCGGTTGTGTCCTGTGTGCAAATTCTATGTGCCCGGATCGCAAGAGTGCGGACTTGTTTTCGTTTGTACTGTGTGTGCACATTATTTATAAATCACCTATATCTATGGCAGTCTTCAATATCTTTTTGCATCTTTTAGCCTCCTTTATACATTTATGTATATATAGGTTATCTAGGTGATAGTGCGCGCATTTGTAAAGGATGAGAATCATCACCATTTAGCCATACCAGTTTTCCTATTTGATTGGAAATCACAAAATTTAAGAGGGTCTCTGGCAACAATGCAAATCTGTTTTGGAATTACGACAGCTTACATAATATATATACATATCAGGCAAGCGTTGATTTGGTATAGATATCCTTTCATTGTCTACGTAATCGTATTATTTTTCCATAATAGAACTACTCCTATGTTCGCATTGGGTTGGCTGCGATGAAAAAATACGTTTTCTTACCCATTGCATTATAAATAAATTTGGAGTAAAAATCTGAAGGTCTTTATCTTGATGTAAGAATTTTCGGGAGCAAAATTGACAGCTATTGATCTCACCGTTTGTTAGGTAACACGAAGTGTTTTTTCTGAAATGTGATTTATGGCGTTGTCTTGCAACCGCAACTCGTCTTCGAAGAAAATCGAAAAAAACAGCGTATTAAAATATGACTTAACAGGGACTAAAGCTGAGCAACATCGCACTAGTTTTGTGCAGGGACGGCAACTTGTACAGGACAAGGTGTTAGTATTTATCCTAAACTATGTCAGAAAATCAGTTTGAATTATTCACATAATCTCTGAGTAAAATCTCCAGGTTACATCATAAAATCGCAAATAGGGTTATATTGGTTACTAAAGGTTTAGGTTCCTTATATCTAGGAAATTGCGCAGACAATATCAACGCCGCTTTGTTAAACAGCGTACTTTCAGTCCGGCCAAATAGACTACATCATAAGCTCAAATGACAGTAGTGAAATTAGCAAACTCCATTGTATGCAAATGACCTCTGTACAAGTGCCTCATAGTTGGGTTTCGACGAACGCAGCAACGTATGGTATTTCTGCCCCTCTACTTATTTGATTTACTTTATAATTGACTGAAAAAACCCAAGCAGTCGAGAAAGGCACCCTTAAAATATACCACAGAGGCACATTTTCTGCTTTCAAATACTGTCAACCTTAAGCCGTACTCGATTCGCTAATTGTAATTACGTAATACTATAACCCATAAGCCAAATCAATAATGTAATTGAGTGGCCAATAGTTACCTATTACTTGTCCAATTGGGACGGCTATGGGCAAAAGATTGGTCACCCATGTCGCTAAATGGCCAACCGCGTACACCAAAATTATGACTTCCAAAAAATGTAACACCATTTAGGCAATAATGGACGTGCTTAGGATGTTCAATCTTACCTAACAGCATAAATAGACATATTACAATTTTTATTGTCATCCTAAGTTTTGCCTCTGCGTGTAACCGAAAACACACCGATATAGGACTGCCGGCCGTTCATCTGTGCGGACAGGGCCCATATCAATACAGTGCCTAAGGTTAGACGTTAAACAAAGTGCTCTACGTCATTCATAGTAATAAAGTGATAACCGGCCCTTAATTAGCCACACTGAGCTCAAAGCTTGTAAGCCTACATGGAAGTCAACGACTGAAGGTAAACTGGGTCATCGAGTTCACGCCCTGAACCCCGGTAATATCCTGTCAGCAACCGGCCATACTTGTCCCATTCCATTTGTATCTGCATAGAAGGCTATGGAAACGTTGACAGGGTGTTATTCTCTTCTACACGACGAGTTATCAGTGTTCCTTTCCAAATATTCTACAATAAACTGTGGTGGCTATCGGTAACTATCGAATATACACAAAGGCGTACAGAAAATCAGTGCACATAGATGTACTATAGACTTACTTCTGTGCCTCCTTAAACCAGTGTTAGAGTACCGACTCCGTTATGGACTCCGTACTATTGGCCTACTGACGATTTACGGGTATAGAGCCCTGAACCGCCCTAAGAAATGCCCAGCTAGGAAATGATAGGATTAGCTTACAAACACTTCTCATGTAGGTAGGTTCACTTACTACATGCTGCTGAGAAGGTCAATATAAAATTCACCATTTCCCCACAACACCTTCGATTTACTAAAACTGCCATCACCACGGAAGCCTTCATGCACACATATCGTTAGCTCTTTTTATTGTTTTATATATGCAACACGTCCCTTCTCCAGAAAATTTTTCAAATACTGAGGAGGAATGTTCTGTTAGGTAGGCTGCTAGGCGTCTTGCTTCCCATAAAAACAGCGCTGGTGCATCGGACCTTCTACGTAATGAACGAACAAGCACAACAGCTTTAGGCAGTATTTAGTAAAGTGCATCCGACGACGTTTAGTTGCCTCACACCGCTAAAATTACGGACTTACACCGCAACCGCGTATTTGTCAGCAAATGACCAACAATAATACTACCCCGAAATAGCTTTGCAACTTGTCATCCAACATGTGTTTGCTACTATGGTGTTTGAGAATATGACTGACCACGTAAAATGCCGCGTGCTCCACCAAAATAAGAGCAGGCGTACTTTTCCATTTAACTGTCTAATCAACAAATTTGTGGTCTCGTGGTACCATTTGATTGGGCGAACACAAATACCGTTTCTCCCATTGTCAAGCAACCACAATACATATACTTAATAAGTTAATGCCATGCAATAAGGTATTTTGTTGAAGTAGATGGCAG